AGAGAGAGAGAGAGAGAGAGAGAGAGAGAGAGAGAGAGAGAGAGAGAATAATGAAAAATTAAAAACTATCACAGGATTGTTTCCATTCTTTTGGTTCTCACAAATAAAGCATCTGGAAACACTTGTGTCCACTTTTTGTAATGGATGTAAGGTTTTTTTTATTATTATTTTGTGTATATGTTTTGTCCCTGCATATGTGTCTGGTGGCCTTGAAAGCACAAAGAGAGCACTGGATCCCCTGGAAACTAGAACTACAGATGACTGTGAGTCACCAATGTGGGTGTTGGGGATCAAAATCAGGTCCTCTGGAGGAGAAGCCAGTACTCTTAACTGCTGAGCCATCTCTGCAGCCATTATGGATGTCTTCCTGTGTGTGTGTTGGATTTGTGTGCACATGTGGGTGCATATGTGCCTGCATGCATGTAGAGGCCAGAGGTTGACATCCGCCATCTTCCTCTCTTACTTTCACTTTATGTCTGAAGACAGGGGATGACACTGAACCTGGAGCACACTGATTTGCTAGCTCAACTGCCCACCAAGCCCTAGGAATCTTCCTGTCTCTGCCTTCCCAGGAACATGCCACCAACCCCAGCTCTTTATGTGGGTTCTGGGGACCCAAACTGTTAAGGCAATTGAAAATCTACCAGAAGGGTCCGAGAAAGTGAAATGAGGATACAATTTTGCATAGGTTGTTTCTGTTGTTTGATGTTGCTTCTCACAGCCCACCTGCCTGCTTTTATTTATTTGGTCTTGTAGTGACTTCACATGATGAACCTTATAAGAGGTTTGGCTGGCAGTCCTAGGACCATTATTTCAGTGACTTTGAACAAATCAAATGAACTTCTTTGAACTTCAGATCCCTATGAAATGGAGATGCAGGGGGAGTATCTCTCATCTGAAATACTTGGGTCATCTTTCTTTCATAGTTTTCCTGATTTTGCAATAGTTACATAGCCTTTGGGAGTTAAACATCTCTAATCTTGAAATCTGAAATTCAAAATGTTTCAAAATTCTGAATGCTTCTGATGTTCAAAAGGTTTCAGATTTCAAGCCCTTTGGGATTTACAGCAATAGCTCTTGCGTAGTGTGTAGGCTGAGGTATCTAAAAGACTTCGGAGGGTACCTGCTACAAGGGCTAAGTAATAAGTAAACCAGTCATCGTTGTTTTTGCGGTTACATTGCCAGTGGAGCAAAGAAAGATATGCATGAGTTATCCCAACACTCCTCGGTGAGATAGGAGGTGCACACAGGAGAATCACCTGGAAGCTCACAGGCCAACTAGTCTGGAGTATGCAATGCGGCAGCAGACTCAGGAGACACCCTGCCCAAAGAAGGTGAAAAACAGATACACTGGCCAGTGGGTGAGACTGTCAGCCTGAGGCTGGACTCCACTGGCACTTCCTCATCACCGCTCACCAGGCTTTGGCAACAGCAAAGTAAGATGACGTTTCAGGAGCTGCACGTCTATCCTACATAATGCCAAATGTAGCGGAGGGGTCAGGGAGACGAGATGGAGAAAAGACAAGGGTTTTAAGATTTGATTAGACATGCTGAGTGAGATTTATACTTGAGATTTATCTTCTGAGTTCCCTTTTTTTGGTGTACTAGGAATAGGACTAAAATGTGAAGCAAATCCATCCCTTTCTGTGCTCAGAGGAAACAGTGATTCCAGGGAGAGTGAGTAGACAGAGGACAGGCGCAACTGTGCAGCTGGCGCCGACGCTCCCTGCTCTTAGCCGCTGGAATTTGCTATGAGGTGGCAGTGTTCTGTACCGGTGTTGTCTAATTGCACATGTGCCTGCTGAGTACTTCAAGTGTGACTAATGGGATCGAGGAATTGAGATTTTAATTTTACTGGATCTTACTTAGTTTAAATTTACATCGCCACATGTGGAGGGTTGCTGTCATAACGGAGAGTGCAGCTCTCACCTCGCCTGGGGAATCCGGGAGGCTAATTAGGGAAATAAAGCATGTACTCCCGAGATCAGTTAAATTTCAAAAGAACTGACATCAGGCAGTAGAAGCTTAATTGTTCTGAGAGGGAAGAGAGCTAGAGAATTCGAATCTTTACAGAGCAGCAGACCGGTGTGCTTCACCTACAGGGATGGATGGTGTTGGGATAGGGGAAAACAAAGGGGGAAGTTTTTCCACCCAGGTTGGAAGAGGTGGGCAAATTCTTGGAGGTAGAACCACCCACGTGCCCGAAGATTTGGTATAATAACCATTCTAAGATAGCGCATGGATGCTACAAGTTAGTTGGTTAGGAGAGGCTGGTAGAGTTGTCTTAACGAAGTGGGAAGGCAAACGATCTAGAAGTTAGAGCAGGGAAAGCAGAGAGCTTTGTGTTCAAAGGCAGCTCTGTACTTCTCAAGTTGTTTTTCTAATATCCTTGGAATTTTCAAATCAATTACTAAAATTTCTCTGGAAACCATATTTTCATTTTCAATACAGTGTTCTGTTTTAAGTGACTAGGACCCAGGCACCACAGCCTGACTTCCTGGGTTCAAATCTCAGTGCTAGTATCGGAACTATTTGCGGAGAGATGAACCGATCATCTCTCTGCGCTTTCAGTTCCTCATCTAAAATTGGAGCTCACCACAGCTCCCAGGCAACGAGGGCGTTGCCAGCATTACGTTAGCTCACCCAGGGTCTACACTAGTACCTGGCACAGAGCGTGTGCTCGGCCAAGGTTGGATTAATATTATTTAAGTTAAAGAACTCTTCAGTTTGTTCCAATTTATATAATAAAACCAATAAAATACATTGAACAAAATTTAACATTCCATGTTAATTTGCAAACTCAGCCCATTATAACTGAACATTAGATTTTTTTGCTTAACGAGTATACTATACTACAAAGTATACTATTTCACTTAATTTAACATATAATTATCTACTAAACAGTGAGCGAATTGTTCTTCTCATTGGGTCTATTAATCTATGGTTGGTTTTTGGCTATAAATTTTATGTCTTTATAAACCTCGTCCTCTGTTATTAGCTTTCAGCAAATGGTGTTTACGATATTTGCTTTACAAGAAACAAAATGATGTTTTTGATTTTATTTTCAGAAGTGTCCTAGTTAGCTTTTTGTCAGCTTGACATAAGCTAGAGTAATTTGGGAAGAAGGAACACAGTTGAAAAAAATACCTCCATCAGATTCCTTACAGGCAAATGTATGAAACATTTTTAAAATTAATGATTGACGTGGGAGGGGACAAGCCCAGTAGGGGTGACCCCACCCCTGGTCAGGTAGTCCTGGGCTGTTTAAGAAATGCAGCAGAATTTGAGCATGAAAGACAAGCCAATAAGCAGCATTCATCCCTGGTCTTTGCTTCAGTTCTTGCCTCAACTTGCTGCCTGACTTGCTTCAGTGAAGAACTGTGAGCTGTAAGGTGAAATCAACCTCTTTCCCCCCTTAAGTTGCTTTTGGTCATTGTGCTTTCCCACAACAATCGAAAACAAATTAGGACAAAAAGTAAAGCTAAGTAAGAGAGGCAGTGGTGCTGAAAGCATGATTTGGTAGCTAGCCAAGATTTGTGATCTTTTCTGTTGTTTAATTTGTAAGTCACACACAATGTCATGCAGTCTAGGAGAAGTCCCTTGTTCCTCTTGGCACTGCTGAAACTTGTCTTTCCTTGTCATTAAGATCAAGCAGCTCACAGGGTGGTGGCAGAGGTGCCTACCTTTAATCCCAGCACTTGGGAGGCAGAGGCAGGGATCTCTGGGAGTTTGAGGCCAGCCTGGTCTACAAAGCAAGTTCCAGGACAGCCAGGACTATTACACAGAGAAACCCTGTCTTGAAAAACCAAAAAAAAACCCCAAACAAACAAACAAACAAAAAAAAACCCAGCTAAGCATTTCTAGGTCCAAGAAGTGCTTAGTGTGCCGAATAAGCAAGACTGTGAAAGTATATGCACAATTTCATTGTTACTGAATTATACTTGGAGGGGATATTCTTTGTGGGTAGCCCAAGAACATCAAGAGATTTTGTGTCTGTGACAGACCCTTGTATATAGAATTAAGTCAGTCTTAACTTGGACCCAGACTAAAAGAAGGGTCAAAATCTGTATGAAATGTATGATAAGGGGATGGATGGAACTGTTTTAGAACTGCATTGTACCACTATCCCTAGGGCAATCCTCTACTAAATATAATTCTACAAGTACCTGCTTCATTTAATACTTTAGGCTCTGGGGTTTGCAATTAGTCCTCCCTTGCCCTCAAGGGATTCTCATGGGAATTTAACTATGAGAACTGTTGCCTCAGAAGTGGTAAATTGGAGAGATGTTAATGAGTCTTTTAATTTATGGTGACCTGGAAAGTTAGTGGTAAGAGTGGACTAGCATTTCCACACAACCTGTAGTTATTTGGGTAGACAAAAAACCGGATCAGGTTCCTGGATTCTGTCCTATCTCTTATCGTGCTGTATATAATATGATGCTTTTGTCCTTTTGCTGTATAATCCGGAAGGTTCGTGGTTGTTAGTGATAGAAATTGATAACTATTTGGGGCAGAAAGTTGTACTGAAAGTGTACTAAGTAGCTCACAGAATGACTGGTTGGGCTGGAGAAGCAGAGAGCTACACAGCCAATACCTTAACAGCCACTGTTACTACCGCATTTACTGTTACCTACAGGTCCTCTGAGGAGTAGATACCAGGATGGATAAGCTATATAACAGATGTGTCAATGGAAAACCCAGTGGCAGAAAATCAGGTGGCACCCTGTAGGTGTAACATGAGGGCCGGCTTGTTGGGGTTTCTGTCCCGCCCAGTACCCCACAACCGGCAAGTCCCAAAGAAAATCTCACAAGAGTCTACATTAGGTTATAAACTGATTGGCCCATTAGCTCAGTCTTCTTATTAACTAATTCTTACATCTTACGGTAACCCATAATTCTTGTCTGTGTTAGCCATGTGGCTCAGTACCTTTTCCAGCTGTCAGCTCACACATTGCTTCTCTGGTGGTCTGGGCAGGAATGGCGGAGGGAGCTTCATCCTCCATAGCCTTCTCCTATTCTCATTGCCCCGCCTCTACTTCCTGTCTGGTTGACCCGCCTATACTTCCTGCCTGGCCAATCAGCATTTTATTAAAATACATGATTGACAGAATACCATGTAGGTGGCTGGGAAGGCTGTCTGATTGCAATGTAAGTCTCAGCTTCATGAAGGAGGCAAGGCAAGACCGCTGGGTCTAAAGAGCATTGGACTGAAGTACAAGTCTAATAAAATGATTGGCCATGTTGATGCAGAGTCCTGTGACCTGAGTCACCTACTGGAACAATCCTATATTCCTAAGAACCGGGCCTGCTTCCTCAGTTATTCATAGAAGCAGTGTGGTCTCAGAGCAAATTAGCAAACTTTGATCATAACAACTATGACCATGGCTAATTGCACACCCTATCTTTGGAGAACTAGGAGGTGCATTTTCATTATGGTCTCAAACAACAGTTTTTGATTTCTGTATTTTACTGGCTTCCCATTCAAGGAATATATCCTTGGAGTCAGTTTATCTAAGTCACATACCTGTGTCCTGATTGCAAAGGGGATTTGCTTTGTAGTAAGATCTGCTAAGTGTTTCCTTTAAATAATGGATTCAGATGGTTGACAAGTTCCTGAAGAGGACAAATGCGCACTATACTCTTTGAACTCCTTAATATCTTTGTCTTGTTCATTGTTAATTATAAATATTTACAAATAAATAAAGTGTATGTGTGTGTGTTTGGGCACATGTACCAAGCTTCTAAAAACAGAGGTCAGAGAACAGTTAAAGTGAACCGGTTCTCTCCTTCTACTATGTATGTTCTGGAGACCAAATTCATATTCTCAGGCTTAACAGTAGGTGTCTTTACCCACTGAACCATCTTTCTGGCCCACAAATTATTATTTTGGGGACAGAATCTTGCTGTATATCCATGGGTGGTTTGAAAGTCACTATGCAGCCCAGGCTGGTCTCAAACCTTCTTTGTCTTCTGCCTCCAAATTGCTGAGATTCCAGGTGTGCCACCAAGCACAAAACTTTTGAGCATATATGTATTTAAAAACAATTATCAAAATAACTGTCTAAATATAGGTAGCTGGTATTCAAATGCTCTCCTACAATCAATCAGTCAACTTATCATTCAATCAAGGAAGCTAGCTACCAAAGAAATGCAAATTAAATTCCAGTAGGATGGCTATAGTGAAGATTGGTAACAGTTGTTGGAGATACAGAGAAACTGGCATCCTTACCTACAGATGATGGAAATATAAAATGATGAAACCACTTTGAAAACATCTGGCAGTTTCTTGAAAAGATCCTATATAGTTGCCAATGAACGGAAAGTGCGTTCAGGGTGAGGGAGATGGCTCAATGGGTAATGTGCATGCTATGAAACTAAGTGACTGGGTAATGACCACAGCGGGTCTAGCGAAGCAAAGATCATACCTTTGATTTTC